AACAGATGTTCCATCATGCTTACCTTATCATTGTGTACAATATTAAAGAACATGAAATAACTTGAATGCTTGAAACTTACTAGCTAAGTTGCCTATATATACCATAGACGGTTATGCACTTATAAATAAGGAAGTAGCATTTGTAGTAGTTTTCTATTCACTATTCAAGAACTTACCATGAATTAATTAGATTAAATAAAACGACTTATTACTTTAGTTTTGTGACTCAGAAGTCTGATGGGGTCTCACTCAGGTAATGTTCATGTGTCAACAGGGCATCTCTTTGTTCACTGAGGGTGCTGCTTCCTTGCTGGCTGTCAGATAAGGTCTGTTCTTATTTTTCTACTTGAATTCCTTGGTCTGTGTTATGGTGATATTTTATTTGTATTAAAATGTTATTTGTATGTTAATAAATAAAGTTGCCCGGGGGTCAGAGCTACTAGCAAGCCATAGGAAAGCAGGGCAGTGGTAGCGTACGCTTGTAATTCCAGCACTTGGTAGGCAGAGCTGGGTAAGTCTCTGTGTGTTCAGGGATACAGCCATTATTGGATACACATGCCTTTAATCTTAATACCAATCATGGAAAACCTGGAGGCCTATACAGACAGGCTGTGAGGAGGCGGTCATGTGGTTGGGTTTACAACCAATGAGAAGGCAGGACAGGAACTCTATATAAAGACTTTAACACAGGGGTAGCTCTGGTTCGGAGAGGTAGGACCACCGCAGGAGGAAGGGTAAGGTTTTAGCTCTTAGCTCTGACCTCTTGGCTTTCTTCTTTGCATTGGTTCTGTGTTTCTTATTTAATAAGAAGGTTGGATACATCTACACTGTGTTCTCTTCCCTCTATCTTTAAGGCCAGCAAGGGCAGATTGAGTCATTTCCATATTTATAATCTCCATCCTCTTTTTCCTCCATGTGTCTGAACCAGCACATAAAGATTTTCCACACTTAAGGACTCCAGTAATTAGACTGGGCCCATTAGGAGAATCCAAAGTAATCTCCCCATGTCAGGGTTTAATCCTTTAATCATACCTGAAAAGCCTCTTTGCCACATGAAGCAACAGATTCAGAGGTTCCAGTGATCTTGAGCATGAACACCGTTGGGGGAGAATTATTCTTTATGTTTGTTTATTTATTATTTAGAGAAAGTGTGCATGCCACAGTGTGGAGGTCAGAGTTCAGCTTTCAGGAATTTGTTCTGTCCTTCCACCGTGTAGATTCCCTGGGATGGAACTCAGGTTTTGGAAGCAAGTACCTTTATGCACAGAGCCATCTCACAAACCCCTTCTGGGGGAGGAGTATTTGCTTACTACAGCTGTCTATCTAAAAACTTGATAATCATTAAGTACTATGTGGAATGGGGAGGCCTGATATGTTCAGATTGATCAGAAGTGTATTTACGTGCTGTGTCTATAAGCATTAAGAAAGGTTTAGAAAGCTACATATCAAGGTACCAATAATTAATTCAACCAAAACAGGATAGTGAATAAGATACAGAACAAAAGAAGACTGATATTTTCTAGATATGCCTCATTTTATTTTTTACAAGAGAATATCTTACTATTTGTAAGATTAAAAAGCTATTAATTTTTAAATTTTAATGAAGGTTAAAATATTTGAAGATTATGATTTGAATATTTGACAGATTATAAAACATAATGTATTACTAATATGTAAAACATACTGATTTATCAGATGTAGACTTTATCAGATATTGTACCTAGATGATGAGATTACAGGTGTATTTAATTTTCTTGTTTTGACTTGCTAGTATTTTTGTTTTATGCCACATGTAAGTAAGTAAAGACATATATATATATATATATATATATATATATATATATATATGTGTGTGTGTGTGTGTGTGTGTGTGTGTGTGTGTGTGTGTACACACATATAAAAATATTAATAGGAAAAATATTTTAAACTAGAAAGTAATTAAAAGTCTGGGCACGGTGGCACACACCTTTAATCTCACCACTTGAGAGGCATAGGCAAGGAGATTTCTGTGTGTTCCAGGCCAGCCTGGTCCACATAGTGAGACCAAGTCTACACAGTGAGACCCTGCGTCCCCCTCCAAAAACAGTAATAGAAAGTTATTACATAGCAACTAAAAATGGTAATGCCCCTACAAAAAACCATCAGGGAATGAAAATTCTACAACGAAGAAAAATGAAGTACTAATGAATCTATATGAACAAATGTTCATCTTATTTGAATATTGGGAAGTTGCTAATTACATATGATTCTCTCTTTCTGTTTATTAAATTTCCAAGTGTTGCCTAATTATTCAAATCAACATTAGAAAGCCAATTTACTCGCCTAACTGAAAACATAACTCTGTCCCCTCTGAAGCTTCTCTGAAAGAAAAGGAAAAGAATGAGAAGGACCGAAGCTTATCAAGCTTAGAAATGTGACAACAGGTAAAAGATGTCACCAGGTTCAGAAGTCTGAAAAGCAGATATGAGTTAAATTCAATTAGCCAACCTGAAAAAAAAATCAAAGACTTCTATGGGTGGGGAAGAAAGAGGCTGAACCTTTCAGAGAATTCCTGAAAGGCTTAGGGCAGGCAGGAATGCAATAAAACAAACAAAAAAAACAACCCCTGCCACGAAAACAAACAACAACAAAAAGACAAATCACCTGGCTGACCGTGGCCTGAGCCTTAAAACACCAAGCTGCCCTTGTCTCTCTGTCTCCATCTAGTGGTGAAGACTGGAGGTTTGCCTCAAGAAAGGTGGAAAAAGTGACTGCTGGCTGGGGAGATGGCTCAGTGGGTAAAATGCTTGCTGGGTTTGATCTTTCGCACCCATGTAAAAAGCAAAAAGCATAAACAAACAAACAAATAAAAGACGATCCCCAGATATGTGTCACATGCTTGTAATTCCAGCATTGGGGAAGTGGAAATAGGTGAGGTTCACTGGCCAGTCCATTGTCAGTTCCAGGCCAGAGAAATGCTGTTTCCAAAAACAAGGTAAATAGGAGATGGATCTGGAAGGAGTTAGGGGGAGAAGAGGAGGTATGATTAAAATGCATTGCATGACATTCTCAAAGAGTTAATAAAATACTATATTAACAAGGTAGATGACGCCCAAGGAATGATGAGCCCAAGATTGTCCTCTGATCTCTGTATGCACGCACACACATGAACACATGCACATGCATACATGTAAGAGTGACTCTAGACTTGCGGGATATTAGGTGAAAGAATATATAAAAGCCTCATCTTCCCCCACAGAGCTCCTCACATTGCCAGCAGGTATTGTTTAGATCTTAAATATTCTGAGGGATTCTAGTTGGTAGTGGTACCTTTAGATGAGCTGTAGAATATAACATTGGGGACACACTCTTGAATGGGATATTGGAATATTGGTCCCTTTTCTTTCTCTGCTTCCTGGCTACCATGAAGTAAACAACTTTGTTCTTTCAAGTGTTCTCTACCACGATATTCTGCCTCACCACAGACCCAGAAACAATAGGCATACTCACCACAGACTGAAATCTCAGAAATAAAAATGATCCTTTCATCCTTTTGAGTTTTTTTTTTATGTATTTTGTCATAGTGATGAAAACCTGACTAAGAGCAGCCTAGCTCATAAAATGCTCTCATCCAACTTCCCCAGCTAGTTATACAGTTTATCCTTAGGAGAACTGACTACCCAAGAGAACAGACCTAGGGGTGGAAACAGGTAGGAGTCCCCGTGGCTTCTACCTAACCATAGGGAACCCAGGAGTTGACAAATTTTATTGACACACATCAAAAGCTTTTAATAGCTGTTAACTGCTTCTGCTTAGAAGTAATAGTGGCTTACTAGACATGTGTGGACAAAACAAACTTGAACTTGTTGAAAACAGAATAACGTACCAGGATCAGAAGCAGCTTCAAAACCTACTATAAATATCTTCAGAGTTATGAGAAATATGACACATATAAAACAAGAATGGGTGACTATTTTTTAAAGGCACATTTGAAGAACAGTGGTTCTTCGACATTAAAAATTACAACAACAATAAAATCCAACAGAAGCCCTGATAGATAAAATTCAGAAAGTTTCTTAGGAACCAGAGGGAAAGATAAAGCTGACTAGTAGAAATAGGAGAGGAGGAAAAAGAGGCAATGAAATGAAATTCTAAGAAATTCAGCACCTGAATTTTAACTTAAGTTCCAGGAAGAGGCCACACAAAAATAGACCCAATAGACTGAAAAAGGTATATTTCTTTGGACCGAAGAAAGTTTCCCAAGTATAGGAGTACACTGTTTTACTCAGTACAAAATAGGTGTTTAGAAGGCTAATAAATCTACAGCAGCACTAATGTTTAGGATAATTCATGGAAAGACAAGGTTCAAATAGTTTTCATAGAGTATGAATTACAAAAAGATCAGTAATGAAATTACATCAATTTTAAAATGGCAGTAAATGTAGAACAGGCTAATAAAGAAATACTGGGGCACACAGTAGCTACATAATAGCTACACAATCAATATTTGCTGACTAAACTAACACAGTTTACAAAGTATTAAATGATACCAGAAAAGGGTGAGTAAATAAAATTCTGTATAAGTATAATCTTTATTACTCAATACAGAACACAATAATTATGAATACAAATAAAATGGCTTAAAGATTGTTTCTGAGAGGTAGAATTGTGAATAATTTTTATTCTTTTCAATTTTTTTCAAAATTATAGAATGAGAATGTATTTATGTAGTTTTAAGTGATCAAAAATAGTAATAAGAACCAGGCATGTAGCTCATACACATGACCTTTGTGTCTTGGTGGAAGAGGTAGGAGGAACAGAAGTTTAAGGCCAATCTAGGTCATATAATGAGCTCAAGGTTAGCCTGAACCAGTTGAGACCTTGCCTCAACAATACTACCATTATCAACAGTTTTTTTTTTTAAAAAAGTTAATGATGAACATAAAGCTATAAACGATTGTCAAATACATTCTAAAAATGTATATTCTTAGTATTTTGCCTTCCCCCACCCTCAGGTTTACCTTGGTCCAGAGTCACTACCATTCACATTGAGATCGAGTTCTTGAGGTTTAGTAAATTCATTATCAGCAACCAGTTCTCGAGACTTAAATACAGCTTGAGTCCTTAACCTGTAAAAATAAATTTAAGAATTTCTAATCCCAAAGCACTGACAGGCTCAACACACACACACACACACACACACACACACACACACACACACACACACACACACACACACACACTTCCTAAACACACATTAAGTAAGCCCATCAAATTTTCTTTATGGACACATGCGGGAAGATTGAGCTGGTTAGAACACAAAGGAAAAACTCAGGATTGTAAATGTTTTTGGAGCACTTTATGTCTCAGTTCCAAAAGGTGAAAGCTTCCAGCTATTCATTGCTGAATGCTTTGCTCATTGTGTTAGTTACTTTTGTCTTAGTTACTTTTGCAATTGCTGTGTTAAAACGTTAGGCAAAAAAAGCCTGAGGGAGAAAGGGTTTGTTTGGCTCACAGTTTGATGGTGTAGCCCATCACAATGGGGAGGACCTAAAAGTAAGACCTTGAAGCAGCTGGTCACATTGCACTTGTGGTCAGGAAGCAGAAGATGAATGCTAGACTTAGCTAGCCTTCCTCCTTTTATGTAATCTAGGACTTGAGCTCAGAGAACCATCTACCCACATTTAGAGTTTGGTCTTCCTACCTCAATCATGCTAATCAGGATAATCCCTCACAGGCATGCCTGGAGGCTTGTTTTGTGTGATTCTACACCCTGTCATGTCAACAACCAACATTAACCATCCCAATTTTCATTGCTGTTACCAATACCTGAGTAAATAAATTAATGGAGGAAGGATTTAGTGGGCTCACGGTTTCTGAGGGTCCAGCTTATTGTAGGTTGGCTCTACTTCTGGGGCCTGAGGTGAGGCAGAAGAGCATAGCAGACGAAAGCTGCTCACCTCATGTCAGCCTGAAAGCAAAGAGTGACTCAGGAAATACTCAGCAACGGCACACATTGGTGAGCGATGCCTCCAAGCAGGCCTGCCTTGTAGATTTTACCACGTCATAATAATGCCACAAATTGTAAATTATCAATAGCTTTAATGGAAAAGATTAACTCATTGATGGGTTAATGGATTATTCCATGGGCTCAATTACTTGATTAGACAAATGCCCTCATGAGCCAATCATTTCCCTTAAGCTCTATCTCTGAACATTGCACTTGTGACTGAGTCTCCAACATATGGGCCTTTTGAGGAAACACTTTAAATAGAAGCCATTCAAGTCACCGTGGTCTAAATAAAAACTCGTGTAACTCTCAAGTATTATTGACTCTGTACCCAACCACTCATGTTGACACTTCAAAGAGCTGGGATATCAGTGACAACATATTTTCTTTAGGCCACAGACAAAAATAGAACTAGGTCTCCTGGTTAATTTCTTTTGTCAACTTGACCTAGCTACCGTCATTTGGGAAAAGGGAACCTCCATTGAGAATGTCCCCAACCAGACTGGCCTATGGGCACTTTCTTGATTAATGATTGATGTGAAAGGGTTCAACTCACTATGGGCAGTTCCCCTCAGTGTTGGTGGTCCTGGGTTATAAGAAAGCCAAGCAAATCATGGGAGAAAGTGAGTAAGCAGAATTCCTCTATGGCTTCTGCTTTGGTTCCTACCTGGCTTAATTCCTGGCCTAACTTCTCTTGTGATGAACTATTTACCTGGAAATCTAAGATGAAATAAACCCTTTCCTCCCCAACTTGCTTTTGTTCATGGTGTTTTATCACAACAATAGAAAACCTAAGACAGAAGGCATGTTATCTACAGAGATTAAGACCATCCTTGTATGTACTGAGAAAGGAAGGGTGTTGAAAACAGCAGTACAAAAACCTACTATCTAGAGTTCAGGGATCAATCACTGACAACAAATACGTGATGCCTAACGTCCATTCCTTCAGTTTTTCAGAAAATGTTCTTTGGTTATATGTATATTCTTTAACTATGAAATAAAAGCCGGGTGGTGGTGGTGTACGCCTTTAATACCAGCATGTAGGAGGCAGAAGCAGGTGAATCTCTGAGAGTTTGAGGCCAGGCTGGTCTACAAAGAGAGTTCCAGGACAGCCAGGACTGTTACACAGAAAAAACTTATCTCGAAAAACCAAACCAACAGCCAAACAAACAAACAAACGAAAAAGCGAAACAAATAAAAACTATGAAATAAAACTATTAAGTGTTTTGTAAAAGCACCATGAACATAGTATTTGTCACCATCAAAAGACCTTCTTTTAACTGTAACTACACATGGTGATATACAAAGAGATGGAATTTGCAGTATTATTATTGTGTGGTGACATGCAAGTCATTAGTAAATGAAGGTATAAAATGCTAAAATCAGGCAATTATGAGAAAGGAGTAAGAAAAATAGTAACAGCAGCAATCAGATAGCTTCTGCAGCAAGAGGAGCAATGATTATGTTGATAATAATAGCAGCAACCATTTCTTACATATATTATACTTACATATATTACATGTTTCTAACATATATTATTGCACTGATCCTCACAGACACCCCAGGAAGTAATTACTTTATTATATGTAGTTACAGAGGAAAGTGGGGCAGGCTTAGGCACAAAACTTACCCAAGGTGATACATTTTTAAGTGGCGAAGGTGGTACATTTTTCATAGCTAGGTATACAGTATGTGTACTATAAATGCCAGAGACAAAGACAAATATTTATAAATAGCTTTGACATTACTCATTACAAATGCACTACTTTATTCTTATTCCCAAAAGAATGTACGGTGGTTCTTGGCACAGCAATCAATTGTGTTCTGGATAAATCTTCTTTGACCAATTTAGAAAGGACTCACAAAGCAAGACTTTCTGAAAGCACTGACTATGTAATCTCAAGGTGGCAGAATCAATTATAAATCAGAATTAGTAAGTGTTATTGTCTTCCCAAATGCATTTCAGTGGGAAAGTCTCATGCCCAAACTCTGAACTATTTTAACTACTTTAACTCTATGCTACTCATTTGGTATTCAATTATAGATTGTCTTTCCAATACATTTCCTGAATATCCTAAGCACCATAAATAATGCTGTGTGCACAGCCAGTATTAATTTATTACTGTAATTGAACTGAGTTATCTGACCACTTAAATTACAAATTCAGTAAAGATATACAATAGTCCATATTATATATAAATTAGTGTGTGAGACTGTGCATAACACACTGAAAGAGATCAGGTTTTATTCATCTAGGTATTCTCCCCACATAGTTTTGGGCAGAAATAATACTTTTCTAAAACAATGAAAATTGAACTGAGTTATAGACTATATTATACAAAATATACTATGATGCTCTTTTGTATATATCCCATAACTTAAAGAGGCCCGTGAGAAAGAAACCAGACCTAAAATTAGGTAAAGTGTAGATAACTGGAAAAGGAAAGCAAACATATTTAAACCAGAGGAAAAGGTATGGCTTGAGAAAGAACTATGAATAGTATATGGAAAGGGTTTCAACCAGATACATTTTCAGAAAAAAAAAACCATTTCTTAGGAAAAATGGGGCAAATGGGTACAGAGATAACTGCAAATTGTAGAAAGCTTTGCAAACTAGGATGATCAGAGTATCTAATCTAGAAATAATTTTTTTATCAGTTTTTAAAATTCAGAAGTGGTAAAAGAAAGGCACTGTATTAGGAGTGTTCATTCACCACAGATATTTTTGGTTCCTGATACTACTGGGCAGACTTTCAGATAACTCTTAAGTGATAAAATTGCCAGAATCTAAAAGTAGGCCAGAGAGTAGGCTGACTTTTGGCCTAGAAATGTGAATTGTGATACTGATTAAACAGATAAATCAAGGCCCTGACTTCTGGCCTGTCCCAGCTAACCAAGGTAGATCAGATGATTTCCATTGTAGAAAAGCAGGAAGAGAGAACCTTCTCTAGTTAAAAATGTCTTCAGCCAGGTGTAGTCAAAGCTGTAACCTCAGCACTTGGGAGGAGGCAGGAGAAAACACAGGTTTGGGCTAGCTTGGGCCACAGGCAGAATCTGTCTCAAAAAGCCTCCATCCCATTATCTGAAGTGACTGTTTATCTGGGCACCTCACTTGAAGTTTCTGATCAAGAACTTCTTGACTTGGGAGAATTTTATTTTATAGTCAGAGCTACAAACAGCAAATGAAATGGCAGAACTGGGATGATCAAGACTCACAGAACTACAATGCCCTTTAACAGATGCTGAAGGCAGCAGAGGCCAGCAAGATGAGGTCTGAAGATGGACAGTACTGTGCCTGGGCATTGTTTCATGGTTTGTATATATTTACAAGTCCTGATCAACAAGATTGAAAGCACTTGAGCAGAAAACACTGAGGACTTTCTAACACTGTGGATGGTCACTACCTAGGGTAATAGTCATCCCTGCAGTAGAATTGATTAAATCACATGATAGTCTGAGGAGAGTAATTCTGAATACGGAAAATAAACAGTCCGATGAAAAGGAAAATTAGGATAGAGAGAATGGATCCATGAGGGAGCTCAAATTATTTTTGTAGAGTTTTCCAGAAGACAGAAATCTTTAGAGTTTAAGAAACAAAAGGTGTGGCCAGCATGGTGGTATGCGCCTTTAATCTCAGCACTGGGGAGGCAGAGGCAGGCAAATCTCTGTGAGTTTGAGGCCAGCCTGGTCTACAAAGTTAGTTGCAGGATAGTGCCTTTAATCCCAGACACAAAGAACACTTCTGAATAGCCTTGAAAGAAATCAAAAGACAGAAAAATCTCTAAAAAGAAACGGAAGACATAAATAAAAACAAGGCAGAAACTGTACTTTGGAAACATGTTCATCTGAGATAAGTAAAAAAAAAAAATCAGCAAAAATGGAGAGAAAACAAATCTCACGAGATTATTGTTAATTATGACTAAGAGGCCAAAAAGGAGAGTCAGACACGTGACTAGGGCCGAAGAGAAATAACACAGGGCAAAGAAAAGCAGCAGCAGCTCCCAGGATCAGATCTCAGGGACCATAACAAAAAATTTACATTTATATACATGAAGTTTAAGGGAGGAACATGGGTGGGGCTCAAAAAGCAATACAAATTAAAAAAAAAAAGGTTCAAGAACTCCTAAATATATCGAATCTTTGAAATGACAAAACAGTTTGTGTTCTTCATCAGCACTAGACAATCAAAAAAAAAAAGCAGCAGCAGATAATCACACATACTATACTCATGTTAATTCACTAGTTTAATTATGTAACATGTAGCCATTGGTGAAGGTCATCTGGAATATCTCTGTAACATTTTTAAAAGTACTCATGAACCTATAATTATTTCAAAATAAAGTTTAAAAGTAACTATGAATATGTATAGTTGAAAACTATATACACATACAAGATTTTCCTCAAAAACTCTATTTCTGAGGTCTTTTTTCTAAGCTAGTATTATATAGAGATAAGTGTATCTAAAAGAATCTATAGAGGATGGTGACCAAGAAGGCAACAAGCAAGGAGACAGAGGCATTTCCCTTGGAAAATGTGCAATTCATTGTTCTCTAAAGAATATAAATGCTACATTTTAGGATTTTAAACATACTTATATCTGATTTATTAATACTTTTCTTCAATTAAACAGTAAACTTTATGCATATGAATGTAAAATGCATACTGAATAGTATAAAACATCAAAACAGCAATCCAGCGTTTGAAACCCAGTTCTAAGGAGATGATTGCTAAGGGAAGAACAATGAGGGTGAGGATCTATATAGAACACAAGGCCCTGGAATTGACCCCATCACCCAGTAAAAACAAATAAAAAGGAAGGTACAGAGCGAATATGATCAGCACACACACATGTACTTGTATAAAAATGTCCTTATGTAACACACTACCACATGCTATGAAATATACACAATGAAAAATTAAAAAGATTACTTTTCAATTGAAAAAGAAGAAAGTATAAATGTGAGTATGTTCATTAGAACTAGTTATAAGTCAGGCTATGTTCAGGACTAGTAAGGATTAAATTTAAACGAGTCTCATGATTTGTTTTATTTTATAGGATGGCAGAAAGACATGAATATAGGATGATGACAACTAATTACACTTCTTTGCAATCTGATTCTACACTGAGAAATAATAGGATTTAACTTAATCTTTAAGTCTCCATAGTGACATCAAATAGCAAAACATATGGCATTTGAAGTATGATAAGAGTAACCACTGGAACTTGGGAGATAGTTCTGTGGGTAAAGAACTTGCTGTGCAAGTAAGAGGACTTAAGTTCAAATCCCCAGACAGGCATGATTACATATGCTTGTAACCCTAGCATTGGGGGTGTTTAGACAGGTGGATCCCAGAAGCTCAATGGACATCCAGCCTAGTTGAGATGGTGAGCTACTAATTTAGTAGACTCTGTCTTAATGAGGTAAGGTAGAGAATGACAGATGAAGACACTTGAAGTCCTTCTCTGGCCTCCACATGTGTGCTTATAGGCACAAGCATCCATGTACATACTTACATGCCTATCTTCTGTATAAGGCAGAAATTTACTTGTAGTCATAGTTGGTATGCACTCCAACAAACCAAGATGCTGAAGAACCTCTGTGAACAGTGTGGTGATTGTGTATCCCAATAAAGCTTGCCTGGAGATCAAAGGAAAAAGCCAGCCACTAAATTAAACATAGAGGTCAAGCAGTGGTGGCACACAACTTTAATCCTATCACTTGGGAGGCAGAGATTCGTCTGGATCTCTGTGAGTTCAAGGCCACACTGGGCTACATGAGAGAAACAGAACCAGGTGGTGGTGACATACACCTTTAATCCCAGGAAGTAATATGGCAGGACACAGAAAGGTATATAAGGTGTGAGGAAACAGCCTCTCTTGAGGCTGAGGATTTCGTAGAGGTAAGCTAGTGGCTGGCTGGTCTGCCTCTCTGATCTTTCAGCTTTCACCCCAATATCTGGCTCTGCTTTTTTTACTGTAAGATTTTAAGATTTTTATTATAAGATTTTATTACATGATTTGTGTTACAGAACTGAGGTTTGTAAAACCAGCATTTGAAATTGTATTCTCTAACCGACAGGCAGTGCTGAAAGAAGAGATAGGACTCACCAGTCATAATCCAGTCGGGACTGGTGCAGCTGCTGCTGTTTGAGGAGAAGCTTTGTCTCTTGCTGGGCCAGAAGATGCTGAAGGCGTTCCTTTTCAATTTCTAGTTCCATCTTCTGAAGCATCAACTGCTGCCTCCGATCTTCTGAGAGCTGCTTTTTGACATCAGTCTCGCTGGGTTGCACTGTCACTTGACCAGGCATGAGAGATGGCCAGGAAAGCCCACAATGACCGCAGGACGCTGGGCGTGTCTTACAGTACTGAGGGGCCATGTTCGCAGGACGGTAGTTCTCATGAACATAATCTTCACCTTCTGAGCATTTATGACCACAGTACTGACTCAATGTTGCAGGTGGAAGGTGTGGATATTCCTTCATCTTCACCTCTTCTGAAGGTAGGACTCTCTCTATCGGGGCTGCATCTATTGGTTTCCTCCCTGGTGATTCAAAAGTACCTGTTCTGGTTTCTGATGGCACCCTCTCTAAATGCTCTTTGGGAGGATGAAGTGTTACTGGTTTCAAAGAATTATTCCTCAATGCCGTAAGGGACTCTGAAACTGAGTCCTGGTTTGCTGACTTAGGCCTTGCCTTGGTCTGACAGTAGGTTTGTGGTTTGGCTACACTCAGGTAGGAACCATCCAGGTCCATCAATGAAGATTGGTGAGTAGTTTTCCTGTTGGCTATCTAAGAAGAAACATAGAAAAAACAACTTGTGGGTTATGTTTTTCAGAAATCAATGATATATGTTCACTAAAACAAAACTCTTATTTCCTTTTCTTAAATATTACAGTATCCACATTGCTAATGTCTCACAAAGTCACATCCATTTTCAAACAACCTTTATTTCAGCAAATCTATAGGAGGATAAAAAAAATCCAGCATTATTATGCTGCTTACAAAAATCTTCGGTGATTTTAGGAGTTGCAAGTACTTAAGGTTACATAAAATCAACTTTAAGATGCAAACACATTAAATATTAATATCTAAAATTGTCTATATTTGAATATTGAGCCAAGAAATCCATGCAGTCACCTTAAATATTCTTTGATTGGCTATTACACAGAACAAGATTTGATGTAAAACATTTTGTATTATTCTAAATAGCTACTGCTAGATGAGTTTTTATAAATATCTTTAGAGAACACAGATACAACCAACTACTTTCAACATATATAATTCTAATAAAAAACAATTATTTAAATGTAAAATATTTAATTTCAGCTACAAACATAAGTGATTTTTCAATTAAACCATTCAAGTGGTTATAGTCTAATAGAACTATGCAGAAAGGAAGCAGTGGTACATTTGAGCTGCCAGGTGAGGAGTAAGCATTCCCAACATTTTAGCTGTAAACCTGTTCTATGAGGAGAGTGAAACTTCATCTGTCTCAATTATTCTCAAACTTGAGAATTACCTGAAGGGCTTGTTAAGCATGAAAGGCTAGTTTCAGCCACAGAGTTTCCAACTCTTCTCAGGATGGTCAGCTCATTTGCATCTTTAAGAGGGGTTTCAGGTGATGTTGATGCTGATCTGGGACCAGGCTTTGAAAATTGCTGGTCTAGACTACGGAATTTAAGTGTCTAACTCAGCCTCAGAAAACGGAGTGGGCACTAGTTTGGCTCTGAACATCCTTGATTTACTGTAAGGAGGCAGGTTCCCCTCTCAGTGCCTTTCAAAATATGGTTTGTCTAAAATCTAGGCTGCTCGAGTTGAAATACGTTAGTTTCATGCAAATGCTGAGTGTACTACAGACAAGCAGTTTGTTCATGAAGTTGGATACTTGGGATTAACAAAACATTAACAAAGTTAATGCAGAAGAGCCTTAAATGAAATTGATAGGGAAAAGTCTAACTCTGAAAATGAGTCCAACAAAGTTTAGATTCTTCCAAGGACAGATAATCTTCTACAGCCAAAACCCTCCCATCAACTTAGACACGAGGCATCACATATGAGAGCCACCAAGTGCCAATTACTTAACTACAAAGATGGGTTCTTCAAAGTGGTATCATTCCTAGGAGTGTAGATTCCTTTGGTAAGCAGAGTATAACCTTTAGCACAAAGGCTGAAAGGCACAAATCATGTACCTCTGGAGAAACCACATTCCCCGCACAGACTTCACTCAAAGATAGGCCAAGAGAACACTAAGCAGACGTAAATGAGAAAGATGTTTGAAATAGTCTTTACAGCTTCCACTTACATCTTACTCTTCCCTCTGGCTTTCATTTAAAGTCCATTTACATAAACTCTTTTACTTTGTTGCCATTTCCTATCTGTATTCAAGGAAGTCCAGAAAGCCATTAATAGTACAGAACAGTACTATTAACCAAAAAAAGCAAAAAACAAAAAAAAAAAACCTTAAATCTTCCCCACCCTGTCTAGATCAGCAGGTTTCTGGCCAATCCTAGTCCTGAGTTATTCCATTTTGTCTAGAGCACCTGCTTTGTCCCAGTCACTCAATGCTGGGTACAAATACTGAGACAGAATGACTTGGTGTCTTATTCATAAATAATCACTATCTGTCTAGCATCATAAAGCATAGGCTGATGAGTGACTTATTCAAGCTTATTAAAATAACTACCACCTTCCAGCTTATTGGACACCACAAACCAATGAACGAAGCAGCCACAAATATGAACATAGAGAACCACCTCAGCCTGCACCATGGCACACCAACTTGGCATTTGTCATGGGCCACTGTTAGGAGATTGCCAGATGACATTACTTCCAGCTGTGCCTTGACTTGGCTTAACCTGATCCTTACTGTCACTGACATCATCAACTTCAAAACTGTCCAGTTCCCTCAAACCAGTGTCTTTCAGATCTGTTCTCAGCTCAGCACCTGCCTACCTGATTGGAACCAACACTGCATCTACTACTGGTTAGCTCCTATACACTCATTTCTAACTTTCTGTCACCTATACGTAACTGATTGAAGCACGACCTACCATTCAAGTACCAGATATTATCAGAACGGAATGGAATATTGCCATGGTTATGACTCCAAAGGAATGTATAAGTGCTTAGTGAAGGTGAATCTATTAACATTCAATATATTCTGACCCTGCAGAAGGGCACAAAGGTGTTCATATATGCTAATGAAATAGCTTGCTAATAACACACCCACTGAAATAATTTTTCACTTTTCATGGATAATTATTTGCACACTGAGGTAAGCTTATTTGCTCAAGGTTGTTGAGAGAAATATCCCTTTCACAGTAAATTAATAAATTACCATTTCTACATTCATTTCCTATTGCCACTACAGTGAATTGCTACAAACTCCGTAGTGTATGACAGCACAAATGTCTTCTCCAAAGATTGTGGAGGTCAGAAATTAGAGATCTATCTCACTGGGCTCAAGTCCAGGTTTTGGCAGAGCTTGCTCTTTTGGGAAGCCCTGAGGAGAGAATCTATCCCCCACCACACCACACTTTTTAAGGCTTCTAGTGACCATATATATTCCTTGGTTTGGGGTCTCTCCTCCATCTTCAAAGTGCATCACTCCCGCTTCTGCTTCCAACATCATAGTGTCCTGTGCTCTGATTTCTTCCTTATTCTTTTTGAACTATAGGGGACACCTATCCAGGTAATCCAGGGTGATTCCCTCATCTCCTAATCCTTAGCTTAGTCACATATGCAAAGTCCTTTTGTTCATAAAGTTCATTTAAGTTCATACAATGGATATTCACGGGTTGAAGGATTTAGGGCATAGTGTGTGTGTGTGTGTGTGTGTGTGTGTGTGTGTGTGTGTGTGTGTGTGTGTGTGCGCACGCGTGTGTGTATCTGTATATGGAACATTTGGGTTTATACATACTATATTCTCAATAAGTATGTTTTGACTGCATCATGTTATTGAGAAAATTCAAATTGAGTTTTGAGCTAGTAATGAAAGAAAATTAGAATCTTAGCCCTTGATGGGAAAAACACAAGAATCACAAAGCCATCTGGGTTCTGTAGCAGGTTCCAGACCAACCTGGCCTACACAGAAAGATTCTGTCTCAAAAAAAAAAAAAGAGAGAGAGAGAGATCTAAGATTAGGCTAAATCATGTGTTACCAAGAGAAAAGCTAGAAAAGAAATAGAAATCAAACTTCCTAAAAGGTTCTAAATATAAAATTCAGCTGCTTTATTAGTAGAGTTGAAGATATCTAACGCCTTTGGGATCCATGCAAATAACAATAGACCTGAATGAAACAGATGTGTTTTTCTTTCTAGAGTTGCTCCATGCCCTTGTATGTGGCATTAACAAACACAAATTCACTTAACAAAGGCTTAAACTAATAAAAAATTCTGAATTGTTCCTGTAGCATATGGGTGTTTAAAAACCTGTATTACATTTTTATTTAGGGCCTGTATGTGCATGCACACGGGTGCACAAGCACACAGCTACCACGACACTCACACAGAGGTCAGAGGACAACTTGTGGGAGTTGGTTCTTTCCTTCAACCACATGGGTCCTGAGGATCAAACCAAGGTTGTCAGGCTTGGTAGCCAGCACCTTTACCCCATGGATCATCTCTCTAGCCTGCATATGGGTTTAATATGAAACTTTCAGATAAGTAACACAAACTTAGAAAATACTTTTTAAAAATAGAGCCAAAATTTCTAATAAACTAAACAGCTTAAGGGTATGGCTTAATGAAATTTCACATTTGTTTACATGGATGTAACTATCTCCCTGGTCAAGTTACAGAACACCTCTGTCACCCAGAAGTTCTCTTGTATGCTTTCTGGTCAACACCTTCGCTCTATGCTCATCAGTTATACATTCATTGATTTACACCTACAATAAATCAACATTCATTGTTTTTTATCACTACACAGTTTTTGTTATATGGCTAAGGCACAATTTATTTTTCTCTTATTAATGGGGGCACCCATTTAAAGCTCTTATAAAGCTGCTATTGTTCTTATGTAAGTGTTTTTTTAAATATTTATTATTTCTGAATTTAATATAATTACATCATTTTTTTCCATTCCATCCTATTTCTTCTCTTCACACACAAACCAGCCTAGTTCATTTAATGTTATCTGCATGTACATGATTTCAGGGATGACAACTTGGTATTGAATAACCAATTTGGGGGCTCTTCCTTGAGGAAGACTATTTTTCCCCCTCTCAGCATTTCTGAGTTTCTGCCTAGGGGTTGGGGCCCCAGTGAGATTTCTTCCTTCCATGTTAGCACGTCGACTGGTGTCACCTTTGTTCACGTCTTGTCTAGACAGCCAAGTTGGTGAGATGTCACGAGTATAGCCCTCTGACATTTCTAAGAAATCTTCCTGTTCTTTGGCTCTTACAATTTGTTTTTTCTGGCCCCTCGTCCACTATGATCCCTGAGTCTTGGATATAAGAGTTGTGTTGTAGATCTATCAGCTGTGGCCTGGCACCGCACGACCACTTCTTTTCTGTATTTTGATCAGTAGTGGTTTTCCTTAATGGCCTCTGTGTGCAAATTTTTCTTTACAGCTGAACAGTATTCCACAGTGTATATGTACCACATTTTCATTATCTGTCAGTTGAAAGACACCCAGGTTATTTCCATTTCCTAGCTATAGTGAATAGAGTGGTAATGAACATGACACAGTATCTGTGACGTAGGATATTAAGTCCTTTGGGTATATGCAAAGAAGTAGAACAGCTGGGTCATATGGTAGATTTATTTTTAACTTTTGAAGGGTTCTCC